GAGCATTAAATGTTTATTCGGATTTTCGTATTGGACTGTCTATGTGAACCTATAAACAACAATACTTTATTCCAAAAATTAAATTTTCCTGCAGCGCGCATGAAAGTGCTCGAATTGCCATGGAATCAAAAGGTATCGCCAGGCATTTATATATACTATACACTGTAGGAAATGCATGAAGTGTTAGATCTTCGGAACCAAAGAGAAATGTTTGAAATAGAATTTAGGGTGTGCCTAGACTTTCTCAAAGTCCTTCGCTTCTCATTTCTTGTTCCGCGGTAGTTTTCCCGCTCTCTCGCTCGTTTTGCCGTAGAAAACATAAAAAATCTACCGCCCGCACTTCGCGCTCGTGAAAAACTTTGAGCTCAACTTGTAGGCAAGTCTAGGGTGTGCCTAAAGAAGGTTTGGGTGGTATGGGACAAAGCCGACTTATCCTTTTGTTAGTTGGATTTTCCAGCCGGTAAAATGGTTACGTATTCAAAATTTAAGGAGTGTCATCTTGCTCTTTCATCCTTAAAACGTAATATTGCAGCTTTTCTAGGCAAACTTGAAATAGACGACTTATCGCTTCACTACTTTTTAAAACAATGGTCTGTTTTTTCATCACATGACCAATTTTTTTAATGCTGCTGACTCATTGCCACGGACGTACCGACTGATTAATTTACTGCATACTTAACTATTGTAGCCCGAAGAATCCATACCATCCACTGCACTGATCTTCAAACAAAAACGTCTCACTTTTGGCTCTCAAACAAAGGTTTGTTTTCATGATATTTGGGATTTTAAGGCATTATTCACTTTCAAGTGTATTAATATGCGGTGTGTGTGTCTGTTAAGTGTAAAGGAAAGGTATAGTCCTTTTCAAGCTTGGTCTAAAAGTGCTCGAATTGTCATATCATCTGTTCAAGCCTCGTAGAGGCGATTTTAAACTCAGATTCGAACGTTTGCACGGGTTACAAATCCCCCTTGACTGGAATTTTAACTCTTTCTTCAAAGTCACGGCGAGGAGGTCTAGCCTGATTCTCAGACGTCCGAAGGGACCGCGAACGAATTCGGACGTCTGAGAATCAGGCTACGAGGAAGTCGAGATCGGAAATCGATTGGTGCTATTACTTATGAGTATTCTCTTCGATCTTCTCCATCTTCTCAGTTTATCCAGTTTGCATTAATGACTTAAGGAGCGGACTTTGTAGGGTGAAGTATTTCGCCCATAAAAATAATTGAAAACAATGGACTTCAGAAGGCGCGAACGTGAAAGCATGAATGCTATTTCTAGTTATTGTCGAAAAATAGCTCATGTCGCTTCTGTCCACCAGTCGGTTAGCGTTTGCGGTGTTGTTGGCAGTGGAGTGAGCCTAGCAAACGGAACAAACTAATAAGATAAAGCAACATAGCTAAGAAACGCCGTGTTACTATAAACTCTTTCGTTAAAATCGCGGTACTTGTCGGAAAAATTCACAAGATTCGCGTGAATTATCTAATAACATTTAGAACATTCTAGACGCCGCGACGGATGATTATAGGCTCCACCTACAATTCAAGCGTAACTTCTCTCTTGCCTCATGCATCGGTTTTTTCTTTCTTGTTTAGTGTCTTTAACGGATTGTCACTTAGCTTCAAGTTGTAAAGTTTGTAAAAGGAATTTCTCCGCGAAAAATGAACAAGTCTTGACTTCCTTAAAGACTTCTTTAATAATCTAGACCGAGTTGTAGCTTCTGTTTCGCGTCTAAACACTCAGATACCTCTATGTCGTCCGAATAGAAATGTAACAATTGTAAAATGAAGTAAAAATGTCTGATCTTTTCTAAATTGTGCTCAAAAGTCGCGTGATTCTGCGTTAATTGGAAAAGTGTATTGTCTTTGGATATACATATCAAGTGTTCTATTTACATACATTATTCATTTTCAATCATGATCAACAACTGAATTTGTGGCAAAGGAAGCACGTATTGTTTTGTGTAACTCCTAGCAGGCACCGTAAAAAGAATTATGCCGCTCCATTTTTAGACTTCCTGCCAGCATAGCAGCTCGTCTTTGTTAATAATCGCACTTCATGTACAGGTTTGTTAACGCGTTATTTTCATCTTTTTAGTGTTTAAAACACTTCGACCAAACATGTCCAAACATGAACAGAGTGTTACGAAACAATGAATCATCTAAGGAGTAGCTAGACAGTTGCACCCATCTACTTAAAAAGATCCAGCAAATATCAATTCAATCCAAGTCGATAGTTCTCTTGTTCTCTTCCATTTTTAGTTTCTTCTTTCACGATGTTAAAATTCTTAAACTCGAGTCAAACAAGTCGGACACTCTTTCAGCGGTGAAGACGTCAAGGTATTTTGACGATGGCGTCGTTTCTTGACCTTTCAATTTGATTTCTGTTTTTTCTTCTGAACACACAGCACCAACGTTGTGTAATCTGCGTTCGAAAGGAAATAAACCAATAACAACATAAAGCAAAACAGACTGATCTACTCTAGATTGGTTATCCTAATTGTGTAGTTCCTAACACTGACAACACAATGCCCTTCAATAGAGGAATGCGGAATCCTTCTAAATCATAATCAATTGTTCCTTTCATAGGAAAGAATAGCGTTACCTGACTCTGAGAGACGACACGCTCTGAGCTTTGGTTTCTCTTACGACTTCCTCCAAGAGTCTAAAGGTTTGTTTTACATTTTTATACTTCCTAGTAATTTTCAGCCATTCAGAGCTCACTGAACTCACGGTCAGCTTTTGTTTGGAGTGTCGCAATCGTTTCTTAGCCAGGCTGTGTACAGGGGCACCCAACGAGGATATAGCTCAAAACCACTTAACATAGCATTGTTGAACGTATTTTAGTATTTAAACGGTAGATATAGGCATATTTTTTATCCCCTAAAAACTTTTCATCTGTTCGGATTTCCTAGCTGAAAGTCTAATGATCCGAAAATTATAGGGATCAAAACTTACCTTTTCGAAAATTTCAGCCAGGAAAAGGCTCCCGAAAATTCTTGGTGGCCTTTTTTAGGGCAAAAATCCGTTAAAAATGAGTAATTATACCATTTTGTAGATGTTCGAAAATCCTAGGAGAGGCAGGCAAGCAAGAAATTTTACAACAAATGTTCCGAAAATTCTAGTTCTCAAATCGTCTTCCGAACAGATATTTTCCCGAAAATTGCCGTTGGGTGCCCCTGTGTGTATTCATGCGATCTTCACCCAGAGAACTGCAAGAGGATTTTGGTCAAAAAAATTGTGTATGAGGGCTGCAACGAGCGTATTATAGTTCCACCTGACACTCAGAGAATCAAATCTCCCTGTTTTCAAATTGCGGTCACTTCATATTTTAATTCAATGATGAACATTTATTGATCTCATCTCGCGTCTTCGCGTTCCTGATTACTTAGGTCACACCCATGTTAGAGGCCGCGAACCCAGTACAGAAAGTACAACTTTCTGTAAACAGGGTCCGTATTTTTAAGCAGCTTAAACGCTTACGTTTCTCTGTTCTTCTGAGGTTCAGATATGCTGTAATCATCAGCACTTGGAGAGAGCCCCGTTTTTAATTTTACATTATACATTCTTATAGGTTTTTACTTAGAGAGAATAATTTAACCAGACTACAATTACATGAGCTAGTGGCTGTGGTTATCGAAGAATCATCTGAAGAATCAATGACACAATCATGCAGTATGCAACAGTGATCTATAAAATTCTCTAACTGAAATAAGTCACTGGAAAGACGCTCACATGAAATACAATTTTATTCATAACTATGATTAAGTTGACATCTAATCATGTCAAAATTTTCCCCTTTCAGAAATATTCTTAAGATCTCCTAGATGAAAGTCATGTCAGACTGCGAGATTTCGACACCATACGATCACGTCAGAAGCTTGCTTTCCACTTACTGTAAAAGATCAAAGAGTGTTTTTTTGTTATAGGCTAACTTGCAGTGCACTTTTCAACAGAATTTCATGGTCTTTCATACAATTTGGCAGCCAGAAGAAAGTACTGATCAAGGTATGATTTCCATTCCTACGTTTATGTCTGGTTTATGGTTAAACGTCTGATGTCTTCTGAAAACTGGGCGGGTTTTTCAGGTCTTTAAGAATATATGATTACGTTCAAGATGCAAAATTTTTCAGTGTTAAGAGAAGAGTATTTAACAAACTAACGGATTAAAAAAACTCGATCGGATCAGTATAAAACTGGTTAAAGTGTATTACCGAGGCTGACGCTTTAGATAAATAGAATCATGTGTTTGTAACGTCGTGCGAGAGTCATTCCATCTGACATAAGCGCATCGGTTCTTGTCCTCAGGAGTTCAGTGACAGATATAAACCAAGAGAGGATAAAGCTCTTTTGATATAAACTGCTTAATTTCTTAAGATGAAACTGACACAGAGAAAGAAGATAATGGAAGCAGTCTAACTATTGCAGCGCTCCTTAAATCGAGTGATTTCTAGGTTCAGTACCAATTATATGACATGAGTTGTATTTAAAAGCCGCTTCTCATTTATAAGAATTATTGTCAACTGTTCGTTTCACAGAAAGTTTGAAGTGTCGAGGACGGGAGGACTGTAGTTCAAGGACCTCTTACATTAGTTGTCAAGAGAGAGCTTTCTGATAAACATCCGTAACGTCCCCAGCGGCGAAGAGCGAGAAGAAACGGATGTTTTCGCAGGCTACTTTCTGAACAGCTTTTTGGCAAAATAGATAGCCTAAAATATGATAAAATATGTGATCCACAAGATTCTGCGCGCGCCGCTAAAATAAAGAATTTTTTTGCAGGTTTACCGAGCGGGCACTGGGGCTATTCAAAGTGAAGATTTCCGAAGATCAAGATATCCGGGATTCAGAAGTGATCTGTTTCAGTCTGTTTGTAAGGTAAGTTTCCCTCCCTGATTTACATGTAAGTTACATGTTCAGGTATTTCTTCCTTTGGTTAACATTTACAGTTTGTCTAGCTAACAATATGGCTGATTATTTATAATGAACTACATTCTTTCTTCCAGATCGTGCGCACTCAGATCACATGAATGTGATCGTGAACACTCAGTGAAATCTGAACGTCGGTCATCTGCGAAAGGTAAGCTTAAGCTTGTTAAGATTACTTTTTTTAATAGGCATTTTCTTGTAAAAGAAAAGGTTGTTGCTGGTGAAAAAATGTTATTTTTGTTTAATGCTCGTAATACAAGTTTTATCACTACATTATTTTTAAAATGCACTACTGCCGCTGTGTGCCGCCAAATTATGCTCGCAAAGACCATTTTGATATCTCTTTCAGTCAAATCGTGGAATTGTTGTGAAATGTAATCCCCAAAAAAAAAGGCATGAGGAGAAGAAGTAACTGCAGGGATCACTTGTGTTACTTGAGGTTGAATCAGAAATATTAAAATCACCCGTTACGTGAAAAGGTGTTAAGTGCATGATATTTTTTTCAGTTTTGTAGATCAGTTACCAAGATTCTGAAGATGTCACCACCTGATAACACAAGATTAAAATTGTGCTCCTGAAAGTAAGTTTATATTCTCTGTGACCTCTGCTATAAGTGTGTTTTGATGTAGATATGATATATTTCTGACCCAGATAATTATTTTGGGCAATTGCCCCTTGTGGCAGCGGGGGGGGGGGGGGGGGGGGGGTACTCCCTATAATGGCCTATAGGAGGAGGTTGTGCTCAGTACCCTATAGGTGTGTGAGCTACCCCATAGCATGCTGCAGTTGTAACTATTGAATTGAGCACATGGAATCCGAATTTTGGTGCTTAGACACAATACTATGATCCGATAAATTTTCAAACAGTTGATGATAGATGATTCTTTCAAATACTTTGCCAATTATAGAGGTAACTCATATTGCATGATAATTGTCTATGTTGCCTCTTTTGCCACTTACTTGAATAAAGAAGTAACCTTTGTGGACTTCCAATCGTCTGGGAAATATACCATTAGCTATATAAAGAACTATTAAATGTAATTGAAATAATATGAAGTGCAATTGATAAAGCACAATCTGTAATAAGCTGACTAGATATTTCATCTGGACCAGCACCTCAAGATTTATTCGTTTTTTTAAAAAGAGACAACACCAGATTACTATCTATCAGTGGGGATGAATTTGGAATCTTTCACTTTAAAGGCCAGAGATATTTAAATTCCTGAAAACTGGGGTCATTGTTTAAAGGTATTTCGCAAGCCAGTTGCGGGCCATTAAATTGTAGAGAAGTGATCATCGAAAGTGTTTGACAAAGCAGTTGAATTAGTCATAGAAACTCCATTTGGACTTAATTCCTTAACAGAAGACCTGCCGGATTTATGAGAAGTATTAGCTCATTGATGACCTGCCACGTTTTATGCAGGTGGCCATCAGTTTCACTAAATTTGTTTTTATAAAATAATTCGTAAGCCTGTTTGATTTCAGCATTGACTTTAAATTGTTATGCATTCTTTTAAAGCAGACCCAATTGTGCAGATCATTGGACCTAATTGCTTAAAGTGCCTTATCACCAGTTAAATAGAGGATATTACATGGCCGCGCGGGGATGCGAATTTTATCTTTGAGTGCTGAAAGTATCTCTCACGAGTAAGCAAAGCGAACGAGTGAGAGATACTTTCAGCATTGGAAAATAAAATTTGTATCCCCAAGCGGCCATGTAATTTTCTGTTTATTTTATGTATACTGATGAAATTCCTACATAAAACACAACTTTTTTAACCCATTCGCTCCTGGAGATTTTGCCCAAAAACGTGTTTTGAAGCTAGTCGAGTGGTTTTCTGGTCACTGTCGTGCTATAAAGAGCTAAAACTTACCACAAACCGGTTTACAGGTTGTACACTTGGCGGCCTTCTGATCCAGATGCAAAATATCAGCTTGCGAAGTTCGGGCATGCGCAGAAAGCAAAATTTCGACATAGTTTTTGGGTTTAAAAGTGACACAGCAGTCTTGACTTTTACTTTTCGCTTTCTCTCCTCCCTTCTTTTTTCGCTTTTCTTGCCTCATTTTTTTTTTTCTCTTGCTGGGCATTTAGTAGGCTTCATTTTGGTGGGAAGAGTTTTTAGGAAAGCTTTTAGGATCTTAGGATTAGGTGAAAGGAAAGGTAGGTGGGTAATGGAACAAGATTTTCATGGAGATTTTCAGGTCCTTGTCACGTGGTTTTTTGCTTTTTTCTCCGGTGTCCTTGACTGAATTGTGCTCATTCTGGTATGGTTTGAAACATCTCTTCACTCTACACAAGTTAGCGAAGAAAGTTGTCCTTGACCGTTAAAACTGATGACGTCACAAAGGATAGAAAGGACCTGGATCCGCACAGGCGGTTACGGGCGGTTCAGGGGCGAATGGGTTAAATTCATTTTCGAAACAGCAAAATAGTGCATTTAAAGTGGTCACCTATCACAAAATGCCTGTCACAAAAATGTTATGAAACTCGGATATAAAGTTAAAAAAGAGAAAAAAAGACAATAATACTTAGTAACCTGAGCGGGAAGCTCTCTCGTAATTGGCTAATCATGTTAGTAACCATGGCGACACCAATATCCTCACACGTGAAAGATAAAAATAGTATCTTCACTGCCCGTGATGAAGATATGATTTTTTAGTGAAAGGAAAAATCCTGGTATTTCATCAGTATCTATATAAGAAAAAGGGATCATGCAAGGTTCTAAACTAGGTATGTTAAAGGGGTGCCATATTTTGTCAAAAGAAGGTAGACGAATAGAGCTGGGTACCTTTTCTGTCAAAATGGTATCGTAAAATTCCGAAAATAAGCCCCTCCAGGTATAAGCCCCTCACAATCGTAACACAAAAAACCCGCCATTAAATCGCCCCTCCGAATATAAGCCCCCCAGGGGGCTTGTACTTAGAATTTGCTCTCAAATACAAAGTAAAACAAAGCATTAAAAGTGGTAAATTTCCTTTCCACTACAAGCTAGCCCAACCGATTTTATAACGCAAATTTCCCTCATAAGCCCTTCCAAATATAATAAGGCCCCTCAAAAAGGGCCTTTGAAAAATGTAAGCCCCGGGGCTTTTTTTTGGAATTTTGCGGTATTTCAAGGCGTTAGGGGTTGGACCTCAGGGCGGAGCCTCTCTGTATAGAACTTTGTTGAGTACCCCCTCCCCCGAGGGCAGGGCATGGTGTTGTTGTTGCATGGCTTCAAAATAATATCTCATATTTTGATGTCATCTTTACCATCTTTTTATTATTTTTAGGATTTTATGTCATTTGAATTAAACACACACAATTAGTTGAATGGTGTGAAGCTATTAAAGGAGAAGGTAGTTTAGCTGAGTTTATTAAATTGACATTGTAAGTGTTAAAGATTTCTTGCATCACTAGAGTATTATGACATTACCTCACATTTGATTTAGATGCATTCATTAATGTACTATTGATTACAGTACACAGTCAGTAGAATGGTACAGGCCAGAAACTGTTAACATTCCAAACATTTCTATTGCCTTGATCACTATTTGTTTGAACCTCATGCTATGGTACAGTCAAACCTTTGCTAGTAATAAATATTGGCCTCTCCTCTAAACATATATGGAGACTTAGTCATAGCCCCAGTCACTAATATTAAAGTTAAGAAATGGTAAACGTGCAGCGTGCAACCGTGGAGTTATGGATGCACGTGGGAGGTTGCTAAGCACGAAAGAAGCGTTAGAGTCGCCTCGTGCGACTCTAGCTTCTTGAGTGCTTTGCAAACCTCCCAAGTGCATCCATAACTCCATGGTTGCACAGCTGCAACGTTTACCATTTCTTTTATAAAATAATCAAAAGAGAAAAACATTATTTTCCATTTGCCTTCGGTTGAGTCATCAGTCCGAGTTCATGTATGCTGCCATCTGCCCGCGCGTAAACAAATCATGTTCTATGTTTTTCAAAAACTTGCCTTTGAGTTTTTCTTTCGCTGAATCAACCGTTCTCCGTCTTCAGGTAAATTGCAAAACGTTTTTTGTTGTTATTGTGAATGGCATCTAGCTGTCTACTTGCTCTTAACATTAGGGTAAAAACTTTGAGGGAAAACTATAAACACCAACTAAAAAAACTCTAAAAAATAAGCTAAAACTAAATAAATGAAATAATTATCAAGCTTATTTATGTGACAATTTTTGACATAAACGTAAAGTAGAAATCAGAAAATTTGACTGTAATTCCTTTAGAATCAGAACAGGTAACACTAGTTTTAAAAAGAAATTAACTAGCTTTGTATTGAAATCTGTCTGGGGAAATCCAGCTATGAAAGTCAAACTTGCAACTGAAATTTGCCGACACACAGCCGGCGATGAAGCGGTTGTGTTTCGACCATTCTCTGAACAACTGTTACATGTATGAATGAACACTGAGGAACAAAATAATACACGCAGAAGTTATTTTTTGAAAAATTTATTTGAAAAACCCAAATGGTTTGTACTCAAATGAAATTCGCTTATTCCAGCGCAATGTGTCTGTTAGACTCAACTAAAATTTTTAATTGATGTGATGAAAACTTCACAACAAAGCAGTCTCAAATTTGAGCGTGTTTCCTAATATTTGCTTGAATTTAGCATCAGCTTGACCAAAAAGTCAATAACACAATGCTAATTGATAAATTTATGTTTCAAACAGACTTTCTCTTCTATAAAAAAACACACAAAATGTATACCTTAAATCTTCGCTCACTCGATTTTCCTTCAGCCAATTCTAGACGCGAGGAAAACAGTGATTAATTCATCCAGTGCAGGGCAAATTTGTTGCTTGATCTTTTGTCCTTCAAAACGACAGCTTAGTATTTTCTTCAACTTCCACTTTTCATCTGTGCATTTCATCGGTGTATTTTACCGTTAGGAGTGGGGATTTGTTGAATTTGCCTAAATTTTACCGCGCTAGCTCAGTTTCTTGGCGTGCACCCACGGGGAACTGGTAGTGGCTAACTGACCAATCAGAGCGCGCGATTTACTTTTGTTATGTTATAAACTGTATTTTTGGTCGGAAATCTCTCATAAATTGCTTGGTCACTGCAGACACTTACAAACACTGCATATTGACCTTGTGAGATGGACCCCTTTCCATAGCAAGTCCAGAACTAGTTGTGGACTAAGCTAAAAGGAAGTTAAAAACACTGTTTGCAATTATTTTGACCTTTGTGAAGTGGATGGACACCTCTTCTAAAAGTGGACACTAACTGGTCATGGACTACAATTACTCTGCATTTGACCTTTGTCCCTAAAAGAGGCAAACATCTGGATCTTTAATTACTTGTAGGTGGACACATCTCCTGGTCACTGTACAGTGGTGTCCACTAATATAATAAGAGGTTTGACCCTTAAAAAATATATAATAATAAAGCTGTGACATAGACTGAGGTAATTTATCAATAAAAACAGTTGTTGGAGTCATTTAATGTGGTGATCTTATTATAAAATTAAATTTACACTCTTTAGGGAAATCTTTAACTGAGACTCAATGGCGCAGCATCAAGACCTTAAAAGAAAAGGAGGTGCTGATCCTGATCATCAGATGTCAAGAAATCATGCCCCTCCTCCTCTGAGTATTGAAGTGCCTAAAATGAGAGATCTTCCAAACAAGTCAAACCCTTGGAGTGATGTCCAGCTTCCTGTAGACATTCTTTTGTTGACAGTAGAAGACTGCGAGTTTTTAGCTTGTTATTATTTCTTGGAAAATTCTTTTAAAAGTTATGACCAGACCCTGGGACACGTGTACTTTGGGACCATGGGTGAAAGCGGAGAAGCTAGAGCACTGAAAGTTGCTTTGATGAGATGTGATCAAGGTTCTTCTGGTCCAGGTGGCTCTCAAATTGTTATTAAAAATGCAGTGATGCAACTGAGACCCAAGGCTGCTTTTTTGGTTGGCAGATGCAAGGGTTTAAATCCAGATGAAACCAAGCTAGGAGATGTAGTGGTATCTGCTAAACTTTCAACTGAACAATTTACAACTCCAGTAAAAAGAAATATTAGCAAACTTAAGTTGTTTTCAGCTGATGGCTGGAATCCACCATTAAAAGATCCAGTAGGAAGAGAAACAGTCCAGGTACACCGTGACAGTGACATATTCAGTGGTAGTCAATTCATCACTAAACAACGCCGTATGTCTCAATCTCGCGTGATTGCAGTTGAAAGGGAAGGGGAAGGTAAGATTATATTATATGCATGTAATAATACTATTATAACAATTTGTAGCATTTGGTTTGAAGTTTAGAACTCTAAATTGTCCTTTTCGGCAACTGTTTCTGACCATGCATCCACAGCACCTAATTAATTACTGACAGCCATGACATTCCGTTTGACCGTAGTGAGCATGGGACCTTAATGGTGTGTGACCAGGTTATTCTAGGGATGTAGTTTACAGTTTAATATTGATTATTGTGCAGGGAACATAAATTATTAAGACTATTAAGCTTACAAGATGATTAATTTCAGTCACGACACTGTAGAAAAAAATTCTGAGCTAATTAGCTGTGCTGGATTCTTGTTCACAGTGGATTGATTATAGGATCATTTTCATATTGTAATTGGTCTGTTTTTTCTGGACAGTTTTAGCTCTGCTAGGTTCTTGTTCACAGTGGATTAAAAAAGGATCATTATTTTTCATAATTATGGTCTGTTTTTTCTTTCCACTTATAATTACAGGCCTGTTTGCTGCAGCCCATGATATGAACATTGAATGGGTGATTGTTAAAGGGATATCACATTTTTCTGATGATAGCAACACTTCTGATGAGTCCTGGAAGTCATTTGCTTCCATCATGGCAGCTTCTCTTGTGTCCAACATGTTAAATGATCCTGTTGTTTTTAAAGAATGGCGGCACTATGAAGGTATGTCACATCCCTGATCTCGTGATTGATTATTAATAAGGATGAATTTTCTGTTCAGATATTTTTTGTGTTAACTGTTTCAATATTATCCTTGGTTCAATTATTTTTCTCCCTGTTTCAAACTCATGATCAAATCATATAGCCTGAATTTCATCTGATTGCTTCGAGTGGTTTTCTTCTCTCGGCAACGTCTGAATCGACCTGCCGTTAATGGCGTCCAGTGACGTCACTACTACCCGAAAACCCGGGGTAGTGATTTTGATTCAGATTGATTATCTAAACATTCTCATAATTATGTATAATTATGAGAAATTTTAGTGGGATATTGTTACTTAGGATATTCAACAGATCGCATTCAGGTAGCATGCTCGCATGGAGTTCAAACATTTCGATAATCTTTATTGTAAACAGCAAAATTGCCCTTCAGTCTTCGAAACTGAATTGCTAAATTAAACTGCGAATGAAGAATCATCGCGGAGAGTCCAGGGGCGGATCCAGGATTTTTTTTAGGAGGGGGTGCACTCGTCTCTTGTTCTACTTCAACACCAATAAACCACATATTTTTTTGTCTTTTTTTGCGGAATACCAGTTTTATTAGAAAACCGCAGGTCATCTCGGGGGGGTGCGCACCCCCTGCACCCTCCCCCTAGATCGGCCCCTGGAGTCAGTAGGTTTATCATTTAGAGCCACTTTGTGGTTTCTGCAGTTATTTTGTTTTAAATGCAAAGTTTCTGAGACCAATGTCATGTTGTAATTCGACCTTCTTGCTATTTTCACCGTCGAGTGTAATGATTCTGTTACCCTTTCTTTCTTGTTTTCTTTTTTCTTCAATAAGGTCCAAATAGCTTCTTTTCAAATTAAAGGAAATCGTTGTGTTTTTGAACTAATTTTTCCATGTGTGTTTATTTGTTTCAATGATTGCGTGATTGCAACCGAGTTTCAATTACAACGGTTCAGAGTACTGCATGCATGCAGTTGATAGTTTGAATGTTAAACATAAATTATGATCGAAAAGAGTAAGCAATAATCTGTCAGCTGTTCTGTGTCATGTAGACAATTTTCCAATCAATATTTCTTGGTTTGCCACTTGAAAATCGTGTTTTACTTTTTGCATGAATTAAAGCAAAGGAGTAGCAATGTCTCTGGGCGGCATTAACAGCTGGTCGATTTAGACGTTACTGAGGGAGTAATAATGACTCGAAGTAATTGGATGAAATTCAGGCTACATACCAACAAAAGCCAAAAGAAAACTTTGTTTTTAGGTTTTTCAAATTTATAATACTTTTCTTCCTTCCAGATTTGACAGCAAAGAATCAGCCAGAGACAACCACAAAGCCAGACAAACAGATACCAGGTACTATCCTGTCAATGAAATTACACTATAATATCCAGGAGTTTTTCCAGATTAAATGATTGAACACTGGTTTCAGTAGAAATAACAGTAATCTTCCGATATACTGGTAATTGTTTGTTACATCACATATCTAGAGCACAGTTGTCTGTTATTATTGTGAGATATGTCTTTGCCAAAAGAGCAGTCTATATTTTTGCCTGGTGTTTTATAACCCCTTTTTCTTTCGCGCAAATTTTGCTGAAAAATGCTGTTGGAAGCTCTTTTTTAATCCTTTTTCTGGTCACTACTTGTGCAAAAAGGTTGGCCAAAATTTTCTAAAATGCGGTAAGTCCAACACTACTCTGCTTTTTGTTCCTTATGCTAAAATAAAATTAATATAAGTGTTGTTTTGAAAAGTGACACAGCCACCTCAACTTTGAATGCTGTTGCTTTCTCTCCTCCCTACTTCTATCACTTTCCCTGCCGCATTTTGGCCTTATCTTGGGGATTTACTGGGGTTCTTTTTGGTGAGACATGTTTTCTCAGTCTCTCCCCACCCACCCACCCACTCACCCACCTATGCTACCTCAACAAAATAAAAACCTATGACCTGCTCACCATATGAGTCACTCATAGCTCAGTGGTTAGAGCATCCTACCGGTATCTGGAAGGTTGTGGGTTTGATTTCTGTTAAGGTTTTGGATTTTTTTTTTCTGAGCACTGGTATTAATACCAGAGTTACACAAAATTATTTACCCTGTTTATTTGTACTTGTAAAACTGCTAACAAGTTGTTTTGACCTTGGACTTTTTACTCCTTCATCTTCACGTATGTTTCCCCACGGACGAGGTACCGTAAAAGTCCGAAAGTAAGCCCCCATGCTTATATTTTTCAAAGGCCCTTTTTGAGGGGCTTATTTTTGGACAGGCTTATATTCGGAGGGGCTTATCTAGGGAGGGAAATTTGTGTTTCAAAATAGATTAGGTTTAGCCTTATGGTTGGAAGGAAATTTACTGTTTTTGCTTTGTTGTATTTGAGGGCAATTTCCATGTACAAGCCTGGGGGGGGGAGGGCTTATATTTGGAGGGGCGATTTAACGGAGGGTTTTTTGCGTTACGACTTTAGGGGGCTTATATTTGGAGGGGCTTATACATGGAGGGGCTTATTTTCGGAATTTTATGGTATTTTCGACGCTTGTGATGAGCTTGCGCATGTACATCACACAAGCTCTGCGTGACAACAATCTCATCACCACAGCTTTCAAATCAGATTGTGGCTGCGCAAAAATCGCTGTGCAATAGTGTGGAGTGCATGTGGAAACTCAACCTAAAGAATAGTAGGGAGGAATACTAGTAAAAGAAAAATATGTATTATTTCTAAATAATTTTAGTCATTTTGCTAATTCGTCATTTTGTCAATTTTCCATTTCCTCATTTGGCATTTTGTATTTTAAACATGCCCTTCCCGATTAAATGATTGATGAACACTGGTTTCAGTAGAAATAACACTAATCTTTCAAATTCTAGAGTTTTCTCTTATTATTGTGAGATATGTCTTTGCCAAGAGAGTAGTCTATTTTTGCCTGGTGTTTTATAACCCCTTTTTCTTTTGCTGTAAAATGCTGTTGGGAGCTCATTTTTTTATCCATTTTCTGATCCCTATCTGGCCAAAAAGATCAGCCAAATTTTCCAAAATGCTGCAAGTCCAACACTATACACTGCCCTTTGTTCCTTAAGTAAAATAAAATTAATATAAGTGTTGTTTTGAAAAGTGACACAGCCCCCTGAACTTTTGCCTGCTGCTTTCTCTCCTCTCTATATACTTCTATCACTTTCCATGCCCCATTTTTTGCCTTATCATAGGGATTTACCAAGGTTTCTTTTTGGTGAGACATGTTCTTGGGAAAACATTTAGCATCATGTCAAATATTTTGAAGGAAGAGCAGATGGGAAATGAAACTTCTTGAAAACATTCTTGTCTTTGTTTCAGCTGTGTTTGAATTATTTCAATAATTTAGGAACTGTCTAAGGAAATCCACAAAATTGAAAATGATGTTGTGGTATTAATTATTTAGTCTCAGTCTATCCACCCACCCACCCACCCACCTATGCTACCTCAACAAAATAAAAACCTATGACCTGCTCACCATATGAGTCACCCATAGCTCAGTGGTTAGAGCAACCTACCGGTATCTGGAAGGTTGTGGGCTGATTCTTGTTAAGGTTTTGGATTTTTTATCCTGTGCATTTCTTTGTTGTACCTAATATTTATTTTTGGCAATCATTCATCCACCTCAGCTGTTTTCTCTTATTGATTTTTGTAAGTTAACTGTCTGCCCCTCCTGGTAAGGGTTGCTAATCAACTCAATCAACTACTATAAATTATTGAAAAAAACTTCTTGGAATTGACAAAACATCTTTGTTAACAGATGCTGTATGCCTTGAGGAGTGCCAGAAACAACTGCGATCACTTTATGAAACCAGTAGCAAAGTCAAAGTCATTCCATGGGACCAGAATTCTGCTGTTGATATTGATGAGATCTACACAGACTTGTCTTGGGTCAAGGATCACAGGACACCCAGTGGAGTAACACAAGAAAAACTTAACCACTACACTGAGATTTTTGGCAGTAAAGGCCCTCGTCCTGCACGAAAGCGAATTTGGGTTTATGGACAGCCAGGTAAGTGAGTGAATTGAGTAATTAAGAATTGTTTTAATTTAAAAGGAGAATAACTATTCTCTGCCCTTGCCCGCCTTTATTACTTTCTGGGTCCAACCAAAACTGCCATGCTACGCAGGCTAGCAAAAAACAAGAACACAGGAACCCATTGTTCTACTGGTATAATTAATCCAGTGATATATCAGCTGGCGATGTGCAGGTTTCTCGAGTTTTTGCTGACATTATGTACATTCCAAGTGGGGTAATTTTTTACCATGCTGTCAAACCCAATGAAAAGTTTGGTTTGTTGCTATTGTAAATAAATTAAAAGTTAAAACAAAGTTTTTCTGTTAACCAGTCTGATAATAAACAATGTATTTAATTGACTTTAGAGCAATCAGAACATACACTGTAGACTTTAGTTAATGTTGTGATAATGGTAATAATATTGTGACTTAATTAATCTGAAATTCAAGTTTATTAATTGTATGCTAAAAGGATAAACTAAAAAAAAATCTTCCGAGGATAAAATTGTACCACAACCTTCACAATAGACTAATGGTCACTGGCAGTTTGGCTCAGTTCGTTGAAAGCCATAGTACAAACCTGGGAATAAATTTTAACTTGGGTTTCTTTTTCTTTTTAACAAAAGCATTTTCTTGGATAATTTTCTCTATTTTTTTAGAGTATCTAATCATCAAATTGTAGACAAAAAGGATTAAACTGACTTTGCTTTTCAAGCTTAATTCATCTCTGAATTCAAGTTTCACACTAACTCTGGGTTATCTTAACCTAGCTTTGAACAACCTGACCCTAATAATAATAATAATAATAATAATAATAATAATAACAACAACAACAACAACAACAAATAATAATAATAATAATAATAATAATAATAATAACTTTATTTTAGTGTCAATGTATTAAGCTTAACAGTTAGCTAATTGGGAACACTTTCCTAAGTGCTGGCACTCATCTACCACATGATTTTTAAAAATAGTCTGTGTATGAAGGTTTCAGTTCCATTGTCTTTATCATGAATTATTTTGAATATGTAAATGAGATACCATTATCGATGAAACTTTTGTCTTTAATCAAAGCTAAGAATTCCAAAATGCCTCCTTCGAGGCAGGAAGCGAAACTTCTTTTTGGCATAACTTAAGAGGCAAATGCCACCCATATGTTAGCTTATGTTGTTCACTCTGCATTGGTTTAAAAAGTTTAAACATAAATATTCCGTAAAAAATAAAATAAAATAAAATAAAATAAATAAATTATCCTAAATTTTTATGACAATTATAAATTCACATTTCAATATTTTGCATTCGACTTCACGTGACTTCACATGATAAAAGTAAACCAATGTTTTGAAGACGTATTAACAGTTTGTTGTTATTGTCACCTAGGAATCGGCAAGACTGTTTTCACGAAGAAAGCAACTTTTGACTGGTCCCAGCAGAGATATTCAGAAACATTAGGAGCATTTGATCTTGTCCTTCTGGTGAGATTACGTGACGTTAGTAATCTCCAAGATGTTCCGTCCATTTTGAGGGCTTCTGAAGTGCTGGATAGTAATGGTGCAATTTCCGCACACAACCTGTATGATTACATTTGTCGCCATCAAGAAAAAGTCTTGCTTATCTTGGACGGCTACGATGAATATGTTTACAGTTCAAAAAACGAGTCGCCTGTCTTCAAAATCTGGAAAAAAAGTCAATTAAGAGGTTGTTCTGTTGTAATTACCTCACGGGAAATGAAAGCTGAGACGTTGAGAAAGTATAGTGATGCTCAATTCAAAATTGACGGCTTTAATTATCAGCGCCAAAAAGAGTTTGCTCGTAGATTTTTGAAAGATGATGAAGATGTTGAAGAGTTTTTTGAATACTTAGAGGATCACGACCTAAGCGACCTAGCACAAATTCCCCTTCTTTTATTAATACTATGCTTGCTTTGGACGAAAACAACACGCGAAGCACTACCAAAGGAACGCGCACACATCTTCGCCCAATTTGTCAAGACTTTGTTTGATCATTTGCGTCAAAAACAGTCTTCTGAATCAGTGGTTGTTAAAGATTACTCAGATGAATTATACGCATTAGGACGCTTGGCCTTTGAAGCCCTTTTGCAAGGCCAGCTTTATTTCCCTGTTAGTCAGTTACCTGCTGGCTACAGTTTGATCGAGAGGCTGATTGAAGTCGGCCTTTTTCAGGTTTTAAATATGGCGACTTTGAATCCTGAAAAAGGCGTGTACTTTATTCACAAATCCGTCCAAGAATACCTGGCTGGGAATTTCCTAAAAGAAGACCTGACATCTAAAAAGGCTGAAGGCACCAATTCCCTGTCAAACGTGGACTCAGTTGAAAAGATCTTTAAAATAAATGAAGCGCTCAAATTTGCTGGTGAGTTGTCAGAAGAAGCCGCGCGCGACATTCTGATTCAACTTGGAATGGCGGCGAAGAAAGAAGAACTGACAGAGTTTAAATTCGACAACGAAACACCGTCAGAGAATGACTTGTCAGAAGAACAAAGAAATTTTATTAGTCTTTGTAATGAGTTATTTTTCTACTGCTCAGCTGAGACAAGAAAAAACCTCTTTCCTACATTTCTTTCCTCTTTAGGAGGAGTTCTTGTAATTAATGATAAGCAGCTAAATGTTATCGTACAGGAAAAATCAGTTCAAACTACCGAAAAAACACCCAACTACGTTTTTTTTAATACATACAATACAAAGGAGCAGGACTATAGTAATTTAATCATTTTAACACAACAATTAAACGTAGTTATTGTTAGCTCTGCAGGAGAAAAGAAAGCATCAGAAATTTTAAGCAACTTAACATGGCGTCAGATTGATGAATTTTTTTTAAAGAAAGAAGAAACCAACACTCACCTTTATTTAGCTAAAATTGTTAAAGGTGAATGGAAAGGCATTCCTTTTCCTTGTGATATAATAAAGGCGCTAATAAGTAAACAAGAGACAACAAAGAAGACAAACATGAATGGTGATGAGTCAAGTGAAGAGAGCAGCAGCAGCTGTTGTTCAAAGCGTCATGGTCTCTCCAGGGTTCGGAGGATTGAAGCTGAGTGGGTGAACAGGTCAGAAATGGAACTGATGAGTGAGATGATGCCGTTTATCACCGCTCCACACGAGATAGGGGTTGAGGGTGAACACGGTGAAGTGTTTGATGCTGAGGTAACAGAGTCTCTGCTGACGAGCATCCAAGTAACACACAAACTGAAGAAATTATTACTCTGTGATATCAATGTAACATCATCACCTGCTGTGGAGTTTATCAACAATGTATTTGAAAAAGCACCAAACTTGGAGGAGCTCGACATGTCAGGCAATCCTCTTCTGGGTGCAGGAGTAGACAGCTTGATTCAACATCTCAGCTGCGCTCCTCACCTGAAGTCACTGTGGCTTGGAGATGTGAAGATGACTCCACAGCAGGTGATGGATCTGTCATCAGCCATCAAGCAGCACGGAAACATCACTGAACTGGTGTCAGAATACCACGTAAGTTTTCGAATTTGATCGCAATTTGTTTCTTTATTCTTTGTTTACAGTTTATTTCTACTCAGCTCTTGCCTTTCGCCATTTTCCTTTCTTTGTCATTTTTATACTCGACAAAACACAAGATTTACTGTTGAAAACAAATCACAAACTTTAGCAGATTCAAAGTATCATTTCAAATTCATTTCTTTCAATTGATTAAACTAAATCGAAAAAAAATGTTTTAACCGAGAACAAGTAAATTAATCTGAAGGTGTTTTCACTGTGCAAAATAATGGATCAGCGAGCAGATATGAAATTTCTCTTCAAGTCTGGTTCAACTCGATATGAGCTCACTTAACAAACTTGTGATATATGTATTAACACAAAAATTCCATAGTATTAATTTCTCAATCAATTTTAATTCATTGCTTTTCATAAAATGATGAATAACAAGCATAAAATCAAAAAATGTTCTGTTCATGTTCGACAATTCAAACAAACAAAATTTGCAAAAATCAAGAGAAAAAAAGTTAACCACTTACAGTTTCACTTTTATCGCTAAGGTTTTCGTAAAATCAACAAAACTCAAGTAAAGTTTCTTTGAGAGTCCAGAAAACGAAGAAGTCTTTTTAGAGCTGTCCTTTTGTTTGAATGTCCCTTGCGTTTCGGTAAATGCTTGTCCTCCCGTAAATAATCTCACAGTAGCGTAGGTTTTTGAGATAGCGTTCCACAAAAAATATAATTCTTCTGAGACACTTGGTTGAAATTTAACACCACACATTTACTCACAGGTAAAAGCACTCCTCTATGGTACAAGCTGTGTATTTTTGTCAGTTACTTGTTTTCAAGTTTTACGACGAACACAACAAATCCTGCGTCACTTCGCGTCTTGTATGAATGAGTTGAAGTTCATAAATTTAGTTTCCTTTAGCTTGCACAAATCCTTTGTCAAATTCCTGAGTACATGAGACGAATTTTCCTCTTAACTGGCGTTTTACGGTATTTTCTCATTCTTTTTGTGTCCATCTTGAGTATTTTTGCGTTGAAAGTTTTCTTTGATGAGCAAACTCAACTGAAGTGAAAAACAAACTACAAAATCAACAAACTGTCATTCAAAGTGGCGTGAGAGAAGGCTTGTGACGTGGCGACAGCTGATTGGTTATATAACTACCCACGTAGTAGAATTTTCCCGCCTTTTGTTTGGCAGCGCAGCAAGCGTTTCTTCAGACGAGACGCAGATGCGCCTCCCCTCCCAACCCCCACTAAGGAAAAACTGATCTGTGAGAATTTTATCAGACCAAGAGTTAATAGAAGAAAGGGCTCCAAGGTTTCAATAATTCGCACATTTTTAGAGTATATTATTTGATTTTGCTGTTTTGAAAGTCTTGCATGCAAATTTTAGGGGTTGAAAAGTAGAATGTGGTCTTTAAGCTGCGAGCACCTTTAGATGTGCGTCCAAGAAGTCAGATGTATTTTTTGTTGGTTTTGTCGTTTTACCCTCTTTTTCGTATTTTTAACTCCTTTTTTCAACAGAACTTTAGTTCGTGAGGCCTTTGCTTTTTCTGTATGTAGGTAATTTCTAATCACTATTAAAGGGCACAAAAATTCGGAAATTTGGGGTTGACAAGGAAAAATTAGGAACTTCTCGCGCAGCAACCTAAAGGCTGGTTTACACTAACGACGGAGTCGGAGTTGGAGTCGTAAGATCGCTTATGACCTAGTGAAAATCAAAAATCGGAGTCATAAGCGGAGTAACCTGAGATCAGGCTCTGTTTTCGTTTCGCTTTGAAAATTACAATCGTGCGGGCAAGGCGATTTTTTTAGCGGTAGCCGTTAGAGAGAATGCATGGGCGCGATCCATTCAACCAAAATTCCAACCGGTCCGACCGGGAAAAGTGGTCCACCTCAAAAGGTGGACCCATTTTTTCGAAACTTTTCCGGTTGGACCGAACCGATCCATTGAGTTTTGGACCGAAATTTCCGAAAATTTTGGTTGAATGGATCGCGCCCCATGAGAACCGCTAAAATTGGGCCTGATCTCAGGTTATAAGAGGCGTGATAAGCGCGCCGGAATCGGAGTCAGAAGAATTAGAACGTTTCCATTTCTTCCGACTCCGCTTACACGTTCCGCTTATGATTTAGTGAAAACCAGGTTGTCAGAATCGGAAGCAGAAGCAGAAGGATAAACCAATCCCGATGCACGTTCTCACGCTTTGTGATTTGTTTGGTTCTTCCGCTTCTGCCGACTCTGACAATCTGGTTTTCCACTAGATCATAAGCGGAACTTGAGCGGAATCGAACGCTGTTTTTACTAGATCATAAGGTCTACGCTTTTGATTACGACTCCGACTCTGTCGCTAGTGAAAGGAAGCAATAATTTTGAGACACTCACTAGAACGTTTTTTAGCGCAGCGGTACGCGCAAGACCATTCAGGACGAAATTACTGTTTAGGGCATGTGGATTTTAAGGCTTCGGAGCAGATTGCGAAATGAGTAAAATCTCTTGTTTAGTCCTAAATATAACTAAATTAAAGAAGAAAAACGTCTTTGTCGCAAGCAGAAATTTCTATAGTACTTCTTTGACTATGTGTTTTAGAAATGACCTCTTTTCGGGGTGGAATCATCTTGAGCTTTACTCAGGTTGGTCTTAAAGTCCCAAGAGTGATCAACATCAATTTTCTCCTAACAATACCAAAACATTATCAAAAGAGAAGGTTAGGAGAAGTAATAAACTGATGAACAAAGGAGAAGTACTTTGATCTTTTATCAAGTTCTCTCAACTAATTCTATAAGGCAATGTATGGACACTAGTGTGGAGAATTTGTATTTTTATATCGGGGCTTAAAGGGTTAAGAGTAAAATTCTAGTTGTCCGATGAGCATTCACGTCCCCCATCCCATAGTAGTTAACCCCTGGAGTTATTTTTACCCTTTCATTGCTTATCACTTAAAGAAAGGTTTTAAAATCTAGACTACACTTTCGATCTTTTAAACGTTGCTTTAAAAGTTGGATGGTGCTAGTGTTATCTTGTAATTTGTTGTAGGATGTTCGGGGGAGCGGCCACCCCAAGCCTGAACATGAATGGCCATCAGAAGAAGATTGGGAAAAGGATTACCCCAGTCTCTTTTCTAACTCATCAAATGAATCACAGCCGCAAAAGCAACAGGTTGGTCATCAAATTTGGCAAAAGAAAATAGAGTATTATATTTCTTGAGTTCTGTTATTTCTTGGGGAAAAAACCTGAAAAAAAAAACATTCCGTTTAAAAACGTATGGTTTTCTTCAGCTTTTGAGGAGTTCACTTATTATAAACTGAAACTGACGGAACAGGAAATGGGTTTTATATCATAGTATTTTCAGGCTTTAGTTTTTTTTCCTAGGCGCGATTTCATAAAAACTGAGTCAAATCAAAACGGTGCAGTTGAATATAAGTCTTACTAACAATAACAAGTTATTTCTGTGGTCTTAGGCTCTTAGCTCACTTCATCTAAGAAGTGAGCTAAGTCATACCGAAACCCATGGTTCTCTTACAACGATGGCTTTTAGTTGTGGAAGTTACTCTCCGAACAATATTGCAACGGACTGCAATCCGTTTCGGAAATACCTCTGGTTTTGGAAACGACCTGAAGTTTCCTTCATACGTTTTTTACCGTTCGGGAAGTCGATTTAATCGTGCACTTTGAAAAAACTTGCTGATTTTCGTACGTGAAGTTTATACAAGCCGGGAGAAAATGTGGATCTTTGAAATGTTTATTGACTTGCAAATTTCACCGCTACGCTGTAGTAGAGCATTTTACGCATTTTAGACAAACATGGAGCTTGAGGCTTGGATCAAACCAGTCAATAGTAGACTGAGGTTCTGTCTTTGTATAGTCTTGTTTTCATTTCTGACAGAAGAGTTTTTATAGCTCAATCATCTTATTTTCTCATCAACTCCTATCCTGTTTCAGGCGTTTAGATAGTGGAAAGTGCCACTCTCCACTATCTGAAAGCCTGGAACAGGCTCTGATCAACTCTTGTTTTCTTTTACCACTCGCACAGATTCCTGCAGAGACTCCCCTCAGTATTCACGACTCACCATTCCCCGCTGACGATCAAGACACCGTGAGAAGAACATTTTTAGCGCCTCCTGATCCTACCGGTAAGGTTTCTTGTCCCCCGCCCCCCCCCCCCAGTTCCCTGCCTTCCCAATCACAGATGTAACAAAACCTATTGGCGATTAACGCCCTGACCACTAATAAGAAGTTGTGCATAACTTCGTTGCGCTCAAAAGTCAGTTTTGGTTTGTGATATTGCCTTCTTTTTAATAATTGCGGTGTAGACGTGCGACAAGTTGCTGTTGTCACATTCTGTCCGTAATTTTGATGAAAGAAATCGGACGTCAAGGACTATGTTTATTCATTAGTTTGTTTATAGACCAAAAAGGTTCTCTACGCAGCACTACCCGGCATAAGCATTTAACGCACCTGGCCTTGCTGCCATATACAGAAACGAAAAGTATGTTAGAACAGTCACTGAGGAAGTTTAAAAGGAAAAGATCCTGTTCCAATGTAGACATTTTCCGGTGTTACCTAAAGGGAGCGATGTTTGCACTTATGATTATTTAAACTTACGCAGTAAAATGAGGGGGCATAACCTTAAGAAAGGATAAATATTCTAGAAGTCTATTAGTCTGAAATCGATGGTTTCCTTTATACATTACGTTACGTGGGATCCTTATTTCTTCCTTTAGCTGATCCAATGTTAGCAGGGCCGTCCATTCCTACTCGTGGGATGCTAATTTCTACCTTCTTTTCCCTTAACAGTTGAACCGATGTTAACAGCGGCATCTATTCCTACAGCGCATGGATCCAGCCACGGTCTGGTACCTCAAGCTCAGTATTCAGAGCATTTTTCCTTACCAGATATCCACACCCATCATCACAGTGCCCCGTCCACCATCTTTACACCTGGAGAATCCTTGTCTACCGATCCGTATCTCATCAGTGCTCCTGGCCCTTCTACAGTCACACAGGAAGAGCCCATTGATGAGGTAATGATGCCGGACAAGAGCGATGGGCCGGATTCATATAGCTGTTCTTGTATATTAGTTTGAAACAGTGTTAAGGGTTATTGAGAATGATTTTATGGATACACCTAATTGCAATAAGGTTTTCATAGAAAAAAGCAAAAAGCAAAAAGTTAAATAGGAATTAATTAGCATGTAATTATCATAGCTTGCAACATTCACAACACACATCACGTAATATGAGAGAAATCATTTGCATCAGTTTCATGGTGTCAATGCAATTCGAGGCTGATTCAAACGTGCTCGAATTACAAAGCACATCGGATAATATAACTACTAAAGAAAAAAGGGGTCCATTTTTTTTTTTAAATAAATATAGCCGGGGGTAAATTCCAGGAACTCAACGCGTGTTTTAGATTAGTGCTAAATAGAAAAGCCAGTCTGAGTATGGTTTGCAGTGCACAACACCATCTGATCACAATTTTCAAGCAACAAATCAGGGGCCTAGGCAGGAATCTTCATCGCGGAGAGGGTGAGGGGGTCCTCCACCAGTTCCCCACCTGAGCCACAAACCAAGCTTCGTTTGTCAGGACATAATAGATTGGCGACTGAAAGTGCGACAACTGAGACTTAATATTGCTCGCGTCAATTTACCTTTTTCTTTTTCGAATTGTGCGACTTCTGTTGATGGAGAATGTTGGCTCTAAAATGACTATGGCGCCTGTCTTTCTTACAGCGCGGAATTGCAGAATTATCTCTTGTTATTGTGAATGAATTCCTAAATAATTGTTAAATACTGAATTAAAATACGCAAATGTAAATCACATGGCTAATTTATTCCTATTTGTCTTTTTGCTTTTTGCTTTTTTCTATGACAACGTTTTTGCAATTAGGTGTAAGTCGTTTACTCAATAACAAAGTTGTTGATAGGAATGTTATTGAGCATTGCTAGCCCCAAGAGTGTCAGAGCTCAAGGTCGTACCTTTACTTCGTGGTCGGAAAGTTTTGACGACTTTGTTCAGTATTCATCCTTCCTGGGATGCCTGTGTGGATCAGACGCCTCAAACTTGTTGATAGGAGCGTCATTCACCCTCGCTGGACTCGAACAATGTAAGACACCTGGAGGACACTAACACCCGTAATGAAGATTAAAAGAACAAAAATGCCATTGACTATTTGGAAGCAATTTGGGTGAGATTAATAACAAACAAAGATGAAACGGGGTTGGTCGAGAGGGGTCGGTTTGACTAACATGTTTCTCTTTAGAAAGAGGCCTACCTTTTTGGTTTGCCCAAATCTTGAAAAAATGGTATTTTGCTGTATTAACCACGGTATAAAAGTTTTGAACTGACTTTTCTCCATAGGAGATGTGGCCACAGACTGAGATTCAAGATTTGCACCAGCTGGAACGCTTTTCCCTTAAAGAGGTAATGAGGCCGGGTAATGATCAGTCCTTTCAAAGCCACTTTTTTACAGCTGTTTCGGATAACACGCGACCTGCGTTGTCAAAAACGTTTCAGGATTTTGGGTTTTTCTGCGACGTCAATCAAATCGTTACCGTAGCATCCACTATGTTTGTCAAATAAAGGCGGCAATAAGGAAGGAAATGTTGGCGGGAACGTACCGTTTTCACCCACCCATATCTGTGTTTCTTCTGGATTTGAAAGCTGTATCCGAACAATCTAAACTTGCAGGGTTTAGTATAACAAAGATCAAAAAAAACTTCGAGCTAAGGTGAAATGTACTCCGCTGTTCAAAAACACGGGACCGAACTCTGAAGTTTAAAAGCAACGAACCTAGAATTACACAAAAGGGATTGAAATCCACTAAACACAAATCACAAACCATGACCTTTGGTTTCCTTAGAGGTCCGCTACACATTCACGCAACAAAAGTAGGTTCGACAGCTACAGTGTCAGGAACAGTGTATTGATCACATCCCATATTACCTTTCGGGATTGTCGCGTGCACATTTTTTCCGACAACCTTTCTCGAAATAACTGTATAATAGTAAGACACGGACACCACCCTGAGACGGACAATTGAATGGAGTTGGGATCCATCTTAGAGAGAGTTAACTTTAGACGGATAGGGTCAGCTGATTATTTTCCAGATTATACACTTTGCTTAGTGATCTTAATATTGCCAAAAAACTGTTAACCGGAGATCACACGTTTACTTTGGTTCCGTACTGATATTGATTATTCTGTGTTTGGTCCCTTTTTCAGAGCGAAACTCGCCCCAGTACTCAGGACGTGCTGTCATACGATCCTGGAACCGCAGGACCAGTTCCAGTAACTCTCCATTCTGCCGGTAAGGTTTTCATTCGTGTTACAACTAAAGCAAGAATCTGCAATTTAAAAGGCTAGTAACGCCGTGACTGACTAGAGCACAAGTAAGACAATGTACAGGACTTAACGTAGTGTTGCAACTTGTATTAAACGGTCCCGTCGTCCATACACACAGATATATACATATATACACAGATACAGGCCCCGACGTTTTTAATAGTTGGATAGCGCTATCCACCAGAAAAATCACCAACCAGAGTATAAATATTTTTAGAACCCGACACCTTTATGCATCAGAGAGTGAGATACCCAGTGAAAAGTACTATTCACCTTTTGAACTACTGGGGCTGACGGCACCTTTCTTGTACAGTCTGTCTTCTAATTAAATATCTCCAAAACGGACATTATTTTCTCGTGTTGACTATTTGGGCGTTGCTTTTATTTCTAACATTGTACAATAACCTAATAAGGCGTATAATGCCGGAAAAGGAGGAATCTACTTTAACACCACAAGTGTGAAACAAGTTGTTTACACTGTACCTTTATGTTAACTCGTGGGATCGTAATTTTTATTATTTTTTTCTCTAGGAGCTCCCATTCCTACGTCGCATTTCTCGAGCCACAGCCTAGCGCCTTTCAGTGAACATTCCCTCCGTCACAGAGTGCTGGAATCACCATTGCAGGCATGGCAACTGCGAAGTACATTTCCAGGATACCCGTATCCCCGCAGTTCTGGCATTTCTACAGTTACTCTCCCTCCGGTTCACCCTGGATATCTTACCCTGCGTGAAATGCAGGATCTACCACAACAGAGAGTTCAGCCCCAAAATACAATGCCGTGTTATTTAAATCTCGAAGGTTCCGCAGTCAGTTACCCGAAAGAAATCCCGGGATTTCTTCCCCCACATGGAATGCAAGGAGCGCGTCTTCATGGATTGCAACCACAAAGTACGATGTCAGACGATCCATATTCCATTGGTCCTGGCGTATCAACCCATACCCACTCCACAGTTAATTTGGAAAGTCTCCCCCCTCATGAAACGATGAGATCCCCGCAATATGGATTTCATTCGCAAAGTACATGTCCAAGTTATCCGTATCTTCAATTTAGTGGTCCTATTACGTCTTCAGTTACGCAACCGCCAGTAATCCCCGGATATTCTTATCCGTACGGAAACCGCATGAGAGCCCCACAACAGGCAACGCAACCGCAAAGTGCAAGTTCAGGTGATCTGCATATTAGTGGTCCTGTTGCGTCTTCAGTCATGCACCCGCCAGTAATCCCCGGATATTCTTACCCGTACGGAAACCCCATGACAGCCCCACTGC